CGACCGTTTGCAGGTGAGAGGTGGGCTCCGTATCTGTCTCCCCTCCTCACCTCTCACCTGCAAACGGTCGGCGCTGACCGAGACACGGTCGGTGCAGGGCCAGAGCTAGAGCTGACCGCCTGCCGGTCGCCTCGGTCGGTCGGTTACGGCGATTTTGCAGAGCTCTGTTGAGTACGTAGGGGCCGAGTTAGAGCGAGTATTGGCGCGCAGGTGCGGGTAACTTCGCAGCGGGGAGGGTCTCTCACGACAATCGTTACACACTTGGTTCAATCAATCGACGAGTTTCTGAACGAGTAATTACGAGAATTGGCTGAAAGGCGCGAGTAATTGCGCGTGCACGAGTATTGAAGCGTAAGTATAGAATAGTAGGCAAGATTATTTTTTCGTACACACGAGTATCAAAGTGGGAGACCCCTCTTCTTTAGGGTGGAATTTCGAAATATGAAGTGCAACACAAAATTTGACGTGGAAGGATAAGAATCAAATATATACCGAGTTTGAGCCGAATTGGGAATTTCCACCTACCCAAGTCTCCTTTAAACAAGATGGCGAAACTTACGAAAGGTCATCAAGGTTACATCCAATAGTCTAAAATTTAAATAAAACTGAAAAAGGAAGTTCCTCTAACTTTTTTGTTGAAAAGTATCAAGAAAAGTCATGGCTCATGGAACTCCACAAAAACTGGCTCATAGTGCCCCATAGGTAACTTTCTTAATCGGGCGACTCTAGGAGGTACAGAGCACTGTTCAAAAAATAAATCGACACTGGAAAATACTCCTGAATGTCACTAAAATCCAACAGTGAAAAGAGCTCCAGGCTAAATTAAAAAGTACGCCGGACAACAAAAAAAATTACTGCTCATTGCTTTCACTCAATTTCCTTCAAAGTTGTGCCTTCAAAATTCACTGCGCCACCATTTACACGATGACAACAATAGCGCTATGAGCCTTCCTGAAAAAGTTTGCATGGTGATGCTCTTCAACAGAATGTTTTTTTGATTTTGAAGGTAGGGCTTGGTGGGGGAGATACGGGTGGTGGCTCATCCCCCTGGCTCAAGTAGCCCCACCCTCCCTTAGTTTGCCGCCATAATTCCCTTAAATACGCGTTTATTTAAAATCGAAGACTTCTACATAACCTAAAAGTTTTAGGCGGGAGAGGCGCACCGAGAAGTGCTTTCACGAATTAACCACGGACCTGAGTGAAAAATGTTTGCTGCTTCAAAAGAAAGTGGCGGACCACATCATCTAGTAAGTCACACCGGACCCGGACGTCCATATCAACAATAGCGTAGCTGGCAGGCAAAATTGGAACTTGCAGCCTGCCACTGTTAAAAATATTTCATTACATTCTCATTTTCATAACATTTTCTAAACATAGCTTCACTACATATTTGTAATGATACTTATTAATCTTTTTATACCGTCTTGTGAAGCTTTATCACACTGAAGTAATACTTTACAACACAATATTGAAGTAATTTTAAATTTCATACAAAAATGCCATGAAGTTATTTTCATTAGTCGCCGTCAAATGGTCTAATACGGGCCACGAATGATAATTTGGCCTGTCTCATTGCGCCTGCCATGGGGCATATTTTGATACGTAAATGTGTCCTCCTTAATCAGCAAAATGGCGGCCAAGAAATAGACTGCTTTATATTTGCACTGTGTTGTTAAAGAACAGCCAAACGAAGGTGGTCCAAATTACCTTGGATGGTCCATATTAGACCATTGGACGGTATTTCTTTCAGTAAGATTTTCTAAATAGGCTTTCAGAATCCCAAATTTTTAATCCACCTTACTGTGTATGTAAGTTAATGTACAACACTTTAGGGTATTCAAATTTTCAGTACAGCACCTAAGAGTGTGCACTATAGAGTTAGTTGGACACATATACCACGAGCATGTTCACTGTAAATTGCTTACGAACAATTGGTTCGTAATGCAAACTAAAACGTTCGTAGCTTACGATGGATTTTGAAGCGTTGTGTTACGACCTAATTGTTCGTCAGCTTACGAACAAATAGTTCGTAATGCAAACCGATTGTTCGTAAGACCCTGTCTAGTCTTACCAAACAATCGCTTTCCAATACGAACAATTTCTTTGCAATGCAAAGAACGAAAATTGTTCGTAACGTTGCAAAGTATTTAGTTCGTAAGCTTTTTACAGTGTAAGTTAAGTCTCTCACCCACATCCGTTTTTCAGTACACCCGAAACCCAACTGTGAGGAATTGCGACTCATTTCAGTGTTCAGAGTCACAGGAAACAATTTCCCGCTAAGTTTCCGGTTATTTCTGGGGGAAAATCCGATTTTCTTTGACGCATGCACAGAGCACAAGTTGTCGAAGTTTCGTGTATTACTAATTTGGTATGTTTGATGGTTTGTGAGCCTCACTGGTAGAATTATGTTGGGCAGTCCTAAGATTTGTTTTACAACTAGTTTGCCGTCATCAATTACGCGTGCTACACTCTAAATGTCAAGGGACAATTTTGTCCGTAGATTTGCAACGATTTCGTGCACATCCAGAAAGGATGCAATTTTGTTCCCTTAATTGGACAAATTGTGTGAAGTTTCACACAACTTGTCTAGTTTTAGGAACAAAGTTGCATCCTTTCTGGATGTGCACGAAATCGTTGCAA